TTTCCCCCCCTTTAACTACTTTATTTGATCTATTTTCCATATCACAGTCATCTCTTGTCAGAAAGCTGTTTGTAGTGTTAAATCATCCTGCAGAAGCGACAAGTTTTACTTCATTAAGTAGTGGCAGAGTGCACTGCTTCGCTGGAGAGTAAGGGGGTAAGAATCTGTCCTCGTGGGCTCTATCAATAACCATTAAGGATCCTCTCTCATTAGACCGAACCTCATAGGCCCCAAGGGCTTGAGAAATGTGCTCAGCCATCTTATGTGATGGAGCATGCTTAGATGGCATCACCACTGTTTGGAAATGTAAATTGCAATAGTTATTTTCCCCACTAGATGATTGCCATGGAGGCGATGTACACAGCCTTATTCTCATTCAACCTCTTTGCTTAATCAAGGAGAACCTCACTCCCCTATCAGCAACCGCCAGTTTGCTCTTCCCGTCTTTTCCACACACACACACACATATACCTCTCAGACCCATTCAGCATATCCAAGCTACTGAAGTATGATTATTCATATGGCAATGAGGCTGGATCAAGCTGGCACGGCTGCCACAGCGTGATGGGAGCGTTTCCGGATGATGACTTAGGAGTCCTGCAGCTCCTCTGCCAAGAGCAGGGAATTCAAACTTAATCAGAGCAAGGACCCCTTCCTCCTCTATCTCCCAGAGAGCTCCACAGGGCTGAGGCCAAAACACGAACAGAATGAGAGAGACAAAAGTCAAAGTCTCGGCAACGTCATGCACGCTCCCGCCCTTAGTTTTCCTCACGGGGAGCTCGAGCTTTTCTCCCATGAGCGATGGGTTCATTCGAGGGCTACTGGAGAAACTTTTCTGTTTCACTCAGAGAGGGGACATTAGGAAGATGAGCTTTGTTCTACTCGATCAGTCCTATCTAAACTCTTATCTGTCCCTCTTTCTCCTTCACACACACACACACACACACACACACATACACACACACACAGCGTTCCAAATTTCCACACACCCTGGTTGTTGTCCATCCATCACCCACAAGCACAGCCAGAATGGTTCACTGAAGCCAGCTTCTGTCGCAGGCCTCCCAGCCCTCGGCTCCCCTCTTTTTCCGCAGGACATGGTCACATCAAGGGGAGGAGGCAATGATCAGTCCCAATCAATAAAACATCGACTGCATTAAAGCTTATGAATAAGTCATGGATGGAAAGAACCCTGTCGTTAGGACACACACACACACACAGCAAAGTGATCTTTTACTTAGGCCAGGGAAGATGAACAGACAGAAAAAAAGAGAACAAAGCAAAGGCTTTAACTTGCAGGGAATTTATCACCCACCCACTGACATTTTGGTGTAAGTTGAAGCTCCACTCTGTCTTTTCTCTCTACTACCCATCCTATTCTCTCTCTCTCCCTCTCACACTCTCTCACTCTCAAGTAATGGCCTTTTTCCTGCGGGTGGAATAAATAAGTTATTACATCCATGTGTCCTAAGGCTTAGCAAAGACCGTCTGAATATAAATAGTTCATTTGCCTCCATAGCGTAGGCCTCACTTTGTGCCATATGAATATATTTGTAATTACATTTTATTTCCAAAAGAGCAGGGTGACTGTTTTGGTTGACTGGAGATGCGAGATGAAATTGCCTTACACAAATAAGCCTGGCAACGTTTTACCCCAAACACCATCTCAAGACAGGAAGGAGCTGCGCGAGAGAGCGAGGGGCTCAGCAGACTCGACGCAGACTCTCGTGTGCTGTGCTGACAGCAAAGAGTGAACAGCCTGCGTGATGCTGTAGACAATGAATACTGAGCAAAACCAGTGTAGCGGATGAAAGTGCCAAGGATTTGAATTTGCATCACCGTTGAATAATTAATGCCTCGATTGTATACTTAAGAGAGATGGTATAACTGTACAGCAGCTAACCCTGTATATGTGTGTGTGTGTGTATACGCTGTCCAACATCGTCATTTCTCTTGGCAGTCAGTTAGTTGGCACTCGGCTCCAAGGTGTGTATGTGAGTCTGTTTGTGTATTGTTGCCGCTTTGTTCACACCTGAAAGTGTTATTTATAGTTGGAGCGCTGACTATTTTCGGAGTTAATCCATTCATGTTGAAAAGGCTAATACGAGATGTACACATGTGTGCAACCTGGCGTTCCTGTGTGCGTGCAGTCTTTGATGAGATGCCCTGTTTGAGTTTGTATTGTGATGATGCAGTCCTCAAGGAGGCGCAGGAAGGGAGAGGAGGCAGCTCTTTGTTTCTGCCAACAGAAGTGTGTCAGACGGGGGAACTCGGGGAGCAGCTCTCAGACAGATTTTTGCTGCCTATTAACAAACGTGGGGACTTTTCCCTCAAAGATTTTGCATATGGCGCGGGAAAGGAAAGACAAGAGGCGGCGGAGGTGGGACCAGCGTTGAGGTAGATGGGTAGACATGTGTTCTCCACAGAGGGATGGGAGGAAATCACAGAATACAGATAGCACACGCAACATCACGTCTATATGGCATTTAATAATTAGCTGATTGTTCACTGAAATAAAACAAATCTTTAAAACATAAGTCCTGGATCACATGAAATTCTCATGACTGCCTAGAATTGCATATTCCATCACAGATTACAAAACTAGCTCCTGCTCATATTTTGGTGTTTTTCAATGTTGGTTGTGTTATTGTGCTCAATTCATGAACCTTTTAAGGGATATTGTTCTACAATGTAGAAAACAGTAAAAATTAGGGGGAAAAAATGGAATGAGAAGGTTTGTCCTGATGTTTGATTGGCTTAAATTAATAATCACTTGGCAAATGTTATGTACCAAACTTATGATTAACAAAACACTGACACATATTAAACTACCCAGTGTGATATAAAATAGTTCAAATCAACTCCAACATGGCCAAGTACAGAAGTCAAATGCTGCTCACCCATTAACGCACCAGTAGTGTAAATAAGTAATATAATAATAATAAACATCAGTAAAACACTAACTGGGTATTTTTTTAATGTTATCATAGAGATTCAGATACTTCAAATACGTTTTGCAGACAGTATTTGTGTATTTCTACATAAGTAATATTTTAATGCAAGTAAACTATTTTATTTGCAGCATTAAGAGCTGACAAGATGTTCATACATGAGCAATAGAACGTATCTCACAAATGATGTTCTCATATTTTGTAACAACCCTGACCTATGGCTAACATCCATCCCTCCATCCCTCCATCCATCATCTATACACCACTTAATCCTCACTAGGGTCATGGGGGGCTGGAGTCTATCCCAGCTGACTCAGGGTGAAGGCAGGTTCACCTGGACAGGTAACCAGTCTATCACAGGGCTACACTTAGAGACAGACAACCAAGCACACTCACATTCACACCTACGGACAATTTAGAATCACCAATTAACCTCAACATGTTTCTGGACTGTGTGGGAGGAAGCCGGAGAACCCGGAGAGAACCCACGCTGCTCGGGGAGAACATGGAGACTCCACGCAGAAAGATCCCGGGGGTCCTCACCGGCGACCTTCTAGCTGCGAGGCAACAGCGCTGACCACCACGTCACCTTGCAGCCCGATGGCTAACCAAATTTAGCAAATAATTTACACTGGAACTTATATTATTGTGGCTTAGCAGGCGGTCTTTTGTCTCATTTGACACCAATTATTTGTTCACTAACTAGATTTTTGCTTTTACCGCCGAGAAAAATCCCATACAGGTGCGCGCAACCGTATCTTTCCTCATCACCCGCTTTTCACACTGCGATTAGCCGCGTTTAACTACGAATGTTTGATGAAATAATTCGTGCTGCATCCACGACGCACCGAACAGACTCTACAATTGACTGTTTTGCATCACGACTAATTATCTTCCCACTGCTAGTAGAAGCTTTCTATCCCGTTACACTCTTATGTTTGCGAATGCCTTTCGTTATTGCTCGCCGCGGCTGCTTGGGAAAATTATTCATTAGTTTCATTAACTGTGCCGTGTAACAATTTGTGTGAAAGATAATATTGCTTGATATTCAAATTACCTGTTGCTTTGTTGGTGGTGATGAAACACTGCCCGGCCGAATGTAATAACCGAGGAACAGAGCGTCCGCACTGCTGCAACATACAGACGCTTAATTGACCTCAGAGGCTGACATTCATACGCCACTTTATTTTGGAACAACTTTATTAATCGTGTCCCTGAACTAGAAGCATCCGTTCAAAAAAAAAAAACACGTCTAGGCAGTCAAGCTGCCGTAGCATTTTCAGCTTGACCTTCTACTCCGGTTTGCGCCCTGCAAAACTGTGCATCAGTAAGACATTAAAAGTTTATGCGGAGTAATCTTTGTTCATCCCTGCTCCTGGATAGATGAGTGTAAATTCACAAATATAAATGCAAACTAACCGTCCAAGGTCGTACCAAGCGATTGTTTTTAAAAGATACATTTGCATGGCGAGATGAAACGGCGTCGCTCCAAAGTGCGTCGAATCTCATTGAATTAAACAGCATGCAGTGAATAAATGTGTGTTTAGAAAAAAAACATGCTGACATATAGACTTTTGAAAATGGATGTGGTGCTGTAGGGGGGAGGGTCGGTGGGGGGGGATCATAATAAGAACGACGGAGGTTGGTGGGGAGGAGAGAAGTTACAGGAGAGTTGCTTCTCAGGGCACAGCAGTGCTCTGTCACCCTTACGACATTGTCCAATTAGAGCATATGATTAGTGTAGACTGTCTGCAGTGAAATTGAATCTATCAGCCAGGCTCGGATTACTACAGGTCCTCGCAATTTAGCTATCACTTTGTCTCTGTCACTGCAGAGCTGCTAATATAAAACCGACAGAATGGATGATTTCTACTTAAGGCGTAGCTTGATTGAAGCTGATTACATTTCACAAAGGTTTATTATATTTCCATAATATGTGTGCATGGGGAAGCGTGTGTGTGTGTGTGTGTGTTTGTGAGGCTGCATGCAGGTGTTTGTGGAAGAGGAAAAGGTGATATGAAATTGTCTTTTTTTTTTTGTCTCTTCCAGGCTGCCAGAGCCGAGGGCAAACCCCATGAACCCGCGGGACTTGGAAGACAATGATTCAGGGCCGTCCATGGACCACGCCCCGTGATACAAGCAGACCGGAGTCCGACTACATCCACCTGTCCTTCACTGTCTGCTTCAGCCAGCCGTCAGCCCTGTCACGCTGTCAGGCCGGCCCTCTTTCTGTCACTCGTCTCCCTCTCTCTCTCTCCTCCCCTCTCAGGCGCCTGCTGGCAGTGAACTGACCTTGAAGAAGGCTGGTGTGACAAATATGGATGGCCACGTCTTTTCTACTCAAACTTTTTTTAATTCCTCACTAGCTACTAACTTTCTTTAATTGAGGCACGCAAGTTATGTGCAATCAATTACCATCAGGCTCAATTTCCACAGCCAGTCAGATCCTTGGCTTACTGGTGAGCCTGGCTGACTCGGTAGAGGAGCCTGGGTAGGCAGCCGAGCAGAGCATCTGTTAAGCCCAACAGATGACAGAAACGGGGAATTCGGTGACATTGTGCGCTTCACTCTTTCGTCCGCGGTATCATTTTCGATGCCGCCATCTCGACAAGCACTCTGGACGCTCTCAGATGTAGAAAGGACACATTTCTCAGATGCCACGATGCCTTATATCATCCACAGAATATATATATATGTCGCAAAGGTGTTCGGGGTGTTATATTTTGATTGTAAAAAAAAAAAAAGTGTCTCTTGTGCTTTCCGTCATCCTGCCGCCTTCACCCTACACCCCGCTGAGTCTTAACGCTTGTAGATTTGTGCGCACTTCCTCGTGTTCTTGTCAGATCTGTTATCAAACCCGGGGGACGTTTTGACACCTATTGATTGGCGAACGTTGCCGAGTCTTTGTTGGGTGAAAATCGAATTGCGTCTTGACTTGCGAAACAGCGCTACGGCAGCATCGGCGTCTCCATGCGCTGTAATGTAAGAGCTCATTACCGCGGGCCAATCTGCAGCACATGACAGATTACAGTCCAGACAAGCGCACGCACTTTCCTACCTTGACCCGCTCAGCTTTAGTTTTCATTTATGATGTACTGCCACCAGTCCGTCCATATCAGCAGTTTGTTTTTAATGTGATTGATTCGGTTGCCTTAAACTCGGAATTGAAAGCGGTGTCACCCGTAATCTGTGGGACAAGTCTGACAACGACATGACTTCACTACTGTAGCGCTGCACTAAAATGCACTGAGAATTGTTTACCCGCCCAGGGGAAATGTTGGTGTGTCAACAGCCTATTGGGAAAAAAAAAAAAAAACACAACTGCTCGAGCTTATTCTGTTTCTGGTGTAACGAAAGACAGGAGTCTGACTGTCTGATGTTTCCTCTTGTTTTTATTTGTCTATTTTTATCTTAAATCTATAAATAAACAGCCTGTTTCTTATACTGGATGCAGAAGATGAGACTGTCTCCACTTTAAGGACCGTTCTCGTGTCATTTGTCTCTTGCAAAACTCTGGAAACACCTGAAAGCCATCTGTCAGCCGAGTCACCACTATCAGAAAACCTTACGGGCATGTAAGACATTTTCATTCTGATGAATGGAGACAGGAAAAGAGATGAAATGCCCTAAAGAGGGAATTCAGGATGGGGAGAATTTCTAGTTTTCCTTCATTAAAATTCAAAGCAGCAACCCATCCAGATAGGCCTGGGAATTGGAGGTTTGGGAACAAGGGGGTGATGGAGCAGCAGAGCTCTTTAGGGTCTCCGCTTCTCTACAGATGCATTTAAATACAGACTGGTTTCATGCCTACAGACCCAGACAAGCCAGAATCCACTTTGATCAACTCATAACCTCAATCTGAAAGCCTTTGTCTCTCCGCCGCTCCTTTTCCCTTTTCGCATTACTTCTCTCGCTTTCTCAGAAACACACCATGCGGCACACATTCGCTTCGCACCTGCTTTCTACCTGAGCTGCTTCATCAAGCCAAGAGTGCCTTCTCAGCACTTAATTGAGATATTGACTTGGAGAAACACTGAGATATTGACTCAGATAAACCCATTTAGCCGCTGGCTATTGCTATCCTGATGGTAACATCTAGTTTTGTATTCTCTGCTGAGTTTAACTTTTGATCTTCAGCGTTCACAAAGCCATTGTCTACTGACCAAGCTGCGGAGCACTTGAACCCCGTTAAAGATTTTCCTCCCCTGTGTGTGTTTTAGTGTGTCTAAGGCTAAATTGATTTAGGCTCTCCGGGCGTGGGCATTGCCAGATGCAGGCTCCTGTGCTATCAAAGGGGAGGCTGGTTTCAGCGGATAATCATATCCCCTCATGTGCGTTGCTTATGCCACGGCGCAAGAATAACAAACCTGAGGGGGGGACAATGTGCCTGTTGTCAGGGGAGGAAATGGAGAGGAGAAGATTGTCTGATCTCATTTAGCCAGGGAGACCACAAGGTTCCCTTTTTTTCCACACCCAATTACACCTGCTCCTCCAGGTTCACTCCACTGAGCATGTTCACAGAGAGACACAAAGATGCACAAACAAACAGAAGCACCGCCGTAAGACCTCCGCTTTCCTGACGGAGCAAAAGAGAGAGAGAGAGGGGGAAAGAAAAAAAAAAGACTATTTGTGTATTTGTATTGACATGAATTAATTGCTTCATGGGTTGTGAGATTGAATTAGCTACGTGACATGCTTGCAAGTGGCGATGCAGCTTTGATTGCCGCCTTTAATAGAGCCTGTTTCTCTGCCATCATTTTAAAAGACAGTTGGAGTCTGTAGTTTCACAGTAATGGAGCAGCTCCACCACCCACCAACCCACTATGACATGCCTTAATGATTCTGTTTATTACCATGCAAGAGCTAGAAGAGAAGTAGGAAATTTCCTCTAATAACAGAGCACGCATTGCCCTGAGACGTGTGTGTGTGCGCTGCATGTGTTACTCTATATGTGTGTGTGTGTGTGTGTGCATGTGCTACTCTATATGTGTGTGTGTGTGTGTGTGTGTGCCTTTAAGTATTTGCGAGGATGTGCATTAGCCTGTGAAAAATGACAGTTTATTTGCAGACCCACACTTCCACCCTTGCTCAAATTGCATGTTCTTGTACCATTCAAGAGAATGTATTGCTTGTCTCACAGTAAATGCACTTTCTTATTCCTCTCTCCCCTTGTCCTCTTCACACACACAAACATAAAAACAAGGAAATAGGCATCAATCCAGAGATGCTAGTCCAGATTTGTTTTTGTTTTTTTCTTACATTTTCCACTGTTTTGTGTTTTGGGTTCAGCCACTCCTGACATCATTCAATGTGAAGATTCAAAACTAGAGTCACCTTCAAAATTAACATTTTCCTTCCCTGCAGTGACGTGTGGACATTTCCAATCTGTGCCGTGCATTTTGGATACAACACGGGAGGGCTGAAGCCTTGGACAAAATAAGCATATTGCCTAAGGTGGCAATGGGAGTTATTTAAGGGACAGAGCTTCCAAACATATTCCAATATATGAAAGGAGTTTATCAGTGGGAAAAAAATGTATATAACAAGAAGAGGGATTTCGCTTTATTTCTATTTCTTGAAGGAAGTGTTTGTCGTTAGTATTTTTAGTCACAGCTCGGACCTAACACCTCCAGCTTGTTTCTATTTCATTCAACGTGTTCTACAAAAGGCTTGAAGGACCTCTGAGGAATAGCAACAGGGAACGAATCAATCTTTTACTAGTCGTCGATTTCTTTTTTTTTTTTTAGGCTCATATGAGATCCAGCCAGCAAGAAGGTGATGCAGATTGTGGACCATCTCAGACTGACTGACAGCAGGCATCTGTCAGAGGTGGCAGGTACAGACAGCTGTCTGGCAGCCCCAGCTCATGAACAATGACTGGGTGGAAACGAGACAGGCCAGAGAATCCATCTCTCCTCCAGACAGCCGCCATCACTCTTCCATTCTCGATTCAGCAGAGACACCTCAGGACCTTTCTCTCTAACCTCTGTGCAATCTTTTCCTGTCTAGGCATCCCACTTGGACAAGTAAAGGAATTATAGAGAAGGAAGGGGAAGAGAGACTAAGGGGGATGTTGTGATCAAAAGACCTGCAGATGAGAAGGTTGAAGCCAGAGTTTAGAATGAGGCTAAAAGTTTAGCGTTAAGCACGCAGCGGGGAGACATAAAACTTGTTCCTTGTAAGGTAATAGAGATGGCGGTGATCCTGAAGGCATGGCTGCAGTGGAGAGGAGCCAGGATGCTTGGTTTCCTCCAGCTGATAAAGGAACGTGCCTGTGAATAAAATGAACATCCCACCTAGATAACACCTCCTGCCTTTCCTTCTGGGAGCTGTAACACATTATACGCTCTCTGTCACAGCCGTGATGAATCACCCTCACAACAAGGGTGAATGCAGAATTTAGAGAAGTGGGAGACAAAATATAACATTTGCAGTCTCACTCTGCAAAATCTCTGCCCAAAGGTGCGCAGAAGTAAAAACAATATACTCTGTGTAGATAGTGTGATATGAAAACATGTGCTATACACCCGTAACTTGTGTTTAGCATTAAAATCTCTAAGATCTTGTTTTACCTTTCAAAGATAAGTCTCGCCCCACACTAGCTGTTTACTAAAACCCGGCAACCTGGCATGAACCATTGATGTTTTCCCCTCCGTCTCCTCCTTGTTCTCCGTCCTTCCTCATTCCTCTCATCATTCATGCTGTGTACACAGTCTGTCCCTTTCTGGTTGCCCAGCTCCTCCGGAGCTTGTTAATTGCGTTGGTGACACAGGTCTACGTGTGAAGCAGCGGTAGTAATTGCTCTAGCCTGGCCTTACGGGAGGAAGGGTGCGGCCATCTGGCCTCCAGGTCTACCCCAAGGCTACGAGATTAGACGCACGCTTCCATGTTTGATGAGACGGACAGCATTAGCAGTTTTATCAGGGACGGAGTCGACCATCGAACTTGTACCGCCGTCCTCATTGGAGCTGTTACACTGCGCTGCATGAAATATACTGGAGCAGCACCGGCTAAATGATGGCCTGACTCTCCACTGATAGCTCACAAACACTGCGATGAGCAAACACACTGCGCTGTAGCTTGATAAAAAGCCATAAACACACCCTTTTATATGGTAACAATAGAGCACTGTAGCCTCCTAATAACAGTAACAATAGCCTCATAATAACACAATAGGACACAAATATTGTATTATTGGAAATGTATTTCTATTCCAATCATGAATTGTCACTTTTGACCTGTTTTAACCTTGTTTTAATGACATTCTCTGATAGAGTGCTATATCTAAGCACATTTAATCTAAAATTAAACCCTGTTTTTTTTCCAGGTGCTCTTCAACAGGGAAAAGTAGTCGTCAGAGCATAATCCAGCTTAATCTACTTAATTCAAGCCTGCTTCATTCTATACACTCATGGTACCTCAGACCTTTAATAACTTAGATAACCCTGCATTTCCTAATTACGGAATGTAACCAAGGATCGTTATCAGGCAGAATTACACTTGACTAATACAGCAGCTCACCCGACATCCCTGTAGTGAAAATACTGTCTTCTGTGGTTGTTATAAACTTGAAGGTGTAAAAGGAAAAGCTGTTAAGTTATGAAGATGTGTAACTGTCCCATGCCTCAAGCCACCTGACAACTAGATAGCCTCCCAGCTTCACAAGACAGTAAGACATTTAATAAGCTGCTACATTCCAACCGAGGTGCTAATAGTCATCGAGTTCAAACTTTGCAATAATCCTGCCTCCTCATGGCCCATTAGTTCCAACTGAGCCACTCACAATGAGCAGCTGTCTCATCGTCCACCAGATTTGTTCACCTTCTAGAGATTTGTTCTATGGCACTTATCTGGATGGTTTTCTCCTGACTAGATCCTTGCTTGTGTTGTATCTGCTCTCAGATGTACGTCGCTTTGGATAAATGATAAATGGAATTGTAAACTGTAGAGCTGCCTCTGCTAACTTGCTTCAACCACAAGCAAAAGTCACCAAATGTTTTGTTGTTGGCTGTAGGAGTGAACACAAGAGTCTTCATGCACTCCCAGCACCTGAGGAACCAGTGAATTGGTCAAAATAGAAAAAAACATTGTTAGCATTAGCACGTTGTGCAAATAGTATGGCTAATGGTACCATTAGCTTTGATCATATAGCCACAAATTAGACTTCTATGGAAGCTGGGAGACATTCAGAGATGATCTGAAAACCAATAGACAGGGCGTGGCTCATTGTGTTTTCACGTCACCTGTTGTGCTTCAGTGTACCTTAAGTTCAGCCAGTGTTTACATCTGTTCCTTTCCTACTCTCTGTGCTCACATATAGTGAGTTCTGATGCAGCCAAGTTACCGAAAAAGCTGTTATCATTTATGTACTTTGAAGTTTCTGTTAGGAAGGCATGCCGACCAGCAGTCACCTCAGAGCCATTTCCAAACAGCTGCTTAACTCAGTCGAAATACTGATTTTGTAACTGCAACATCATCTGAACATCATCTAAAAAATCTGGCTTTTAGCTTTGCTGTGTATCTGGCAACACGTCAGAGAGAAAGTTAGAAGCGATACAAAGTTTTGGTTTCATTTAGACTCGTGTCGGCTGCTGGGCGGCCAGCTGTTCTCTACACGGTCAGCCTCAGACACAGAGGGGTTCTACTTCCTGAAGATGGACGGCAGCAGCTCAGGTGTGTTTAAAGCCACAGATGCTAAAAAAAAAAGAAGAAGCCCGTAATACAGCTACGGTAACATGAACTGTCTTTTACGGTATTTTGAGCTGAAAAATTGAAAGACACACTCTGGGAACATGGGAGACTTTGATTAATCTGCTGAAATTTAGTGCAATACGGGACCTTTAAAAGTCTGAAATGAATAATAATGTGACTTAGATGTGACTTGTTCAACTTATCAGACAAACAAAAACAGATTTTTCCTCCAGTTCTTTGAACCTGCTCCTTCTTTCTACAGCTCCTTCAAAAGCCTTTAATGTATAACCGGTGGGAAAATATTATGCCACTTAAACAAATTACTTCAAATGCTGCAAACTTTAATACATAAATTCTGAAGTAACAGATTATTTATATATGCAGGACCATAGTAAAGGTAATTTGTATGAATATTGTTGCAGAAAAACTTACAATATCGTGCTGACCTTTGGATTAGCGCAGGAGCACCGTGTTATCCGTTCAATTTATTTGTTTTTCTACCCTCTAATACATTGAGATCAAATGCCATCACTTTGCATAATTTGTAGACCCACATGCGAAAGAGTGGCAGACTTAAATGCCTGCTGCTGCACAAATAGCTTTCTCGCAGTTAGTAGCTTAGCGTCGGTGGCTCCCATTCATCAAGCGATCCGAGAGGAGACGGGAGATTCGGCTGTGGAAAAGAACCCAAATAAATCAAAGTGCAGCATTTGGAGGGAAATTAGCGAACTCCATTGATCGTTTACGGGGCTATCAAAAATAATGCGGGCTGATTTATGAAAAATGAAGGCTTGGCACTGTAAAATACACATGCCTCGCCGAAGTGTACTGAAGCAGGAGTTTGTTTTGAGGTGCAAGAAAGTCTTAACACCTTAAATCAAGTGATCTTTAGTATCGAAGGCCTGGGAATTTCATCTGATTGAGGCAAAATGCCAAAATATGGTTCAGTGGTTAGAACAGTCACCTTATAGCAAATACGTTTAAGCTGAACCTGGGAGCCTTTCCGTCCATCTGAACTAACATTACCCTTGACTATGCGCCGGCTTGGTGCCTTGGGGGCTGCAGCACAACGGCCCGCTGTTACTAAAGAGAGGTCGGCGAACGAGGTGAGGACAAATTTCGTCACAGTGCTTAATGAAGTATAACATAACAGGTGTTGCTTCACTTTGGCGTGAGGGTTGCAAGAGTTGCTTTTTCTAGTTGTTTTAAAGCTGATCTTAAACGACGTCAGAGAAATTCAGATTTAAAAAAGTCATGTAGGAAGCTTTATGAAACAACCCTGTTTACTTTAAAGCAGCATATGTATGTAAAACTGCAGACTAACATTCCCTATACCAACCAGTTTCAGGTCAGAGAGAAGCAATCTGTTCTATTTCACAGTCTTCTGTTCAGTTTTAGCCAACCCTCTGGTGTGGAATAGCACATCGAAATTTACATTCACTTGTTCGCCGTCCACCAAACTCCC